GTTATGTAACACTCAGGGCACTGTTTGTTTAATAGATGCATACATTTAGAGCTGATCAATGAACTGATTAAAAGAATCAACCACTCTTTTAACAATCAAATAATCATTTAAGTAAGTCATCTCATTTAATTTGTTGGCAGTAAACAGACAAAAGATCTGCACACTGTACTAAGCTCCAAGCAGTTTCATTTGGCAGCAATGTTTCAGTCACACAGTCTTCATCAGGCATTGTCAAACAGGCATCACCCTGAAGAACACACATATATAGACACCTACAAATACACCACGCAGGTGTTTTCAGTCTGAATGATTCCGAGTCAGTCTGTTTCTAGGAAGGACCAATCAGGACAAAGCTGAACTGCACTGTCCAATACTCCCAGTGAGGGAGCAGAAGATGCTAATATGAGAGGGACAATGAGTAGGGGACAAACAGAAAAAAAAAAGTTAAACAATAAAAAAAATAATCACAAAAAATACAAGAAAATCACAAAAACAACTCAACCAAAAAAGAAAATTATACTCATAAAGACTACCAATAAAGTCAATAATCTATTTCAAGTTGGAAAAAAGCCAATATATTAATTGTATAACAAATCTGACCATATTACAAAGTTTCTGATCCAAATCTAAATTTAAATCTTTAGGTGACTGGGTGTTAAGAGTAAAAATAAAAATATAAATATCTGCTTTGTCTCATTCAAATTTACTTGACAGTAAACTAAATATTTTTAGTGTTTTGGAGTGCTGGTTCTGACAACCAAGCATACTGAGTCACCTTGATTTTAGAAAATTGTAATGACAGTCCTCACTATTACTGATATGTTATAGCCCAGTGCTAGTTGTAGCACAAAATAAATGATTGTAATTAAGTATAAACTCTGCTTGGCTGTTAAACATTCTGCTGTGGTACATAAACTAATTACAGTGCCTCCAGCGTGAGTTAAGAAAACTCTATAGGTTTAATTTAATGAAACAGACACTAAAATCATCAGTATTACAGCACACCAGCCAGACATCTTGCTATCATACACTGTGGGTTTTGTCTTAGCTGGGATGCCAAACAGTCTCATTTTTCAAACTGCCATCATATCATCTGTTAAAATAAGAAATACATTAAGAAAGTAGTGAACAGCTCTTATCGCAGCATGTGAGGAAGGGCAAAATAAATCAGCTTTCATTCATTTTAAATTAGGGAACATTTTTCCTGGAAAATGCAGTGAAGACTGCCATCTTTATCAATCTCCCCCCAACTTGATCATTACTATAAAAACGCGAGGGATCAGTTTACTAAACGTCTAACGACATTTGTACCATTCATTTTCTACCGCTTAGTCCCTGAACGGGGTCGGAGCCAATCCCGGCCGGCAATCGGGCGAAGGCAGGGTACACCCTGGATAGGTCGCCAATCCATCGCAGGGCTAACACATAGACGAACAACCACACACACGCACTCCTATGGGCAATTTAGAGACACCAGTCAACCTAAGCTGCACGTCTTTGGACTGTGAGAGGAAGCCGGAGTACCCGGAAAGAACCCACGCAAACACAGGCGGGGCCCGAACCCGGAACCTTCTCGCTGTGAGGCAACAGCGCTAACCACTGTGCCACCGTGCTGTCCACATTTGTATCAAAGCAGGGGGGAAAAAAATTATCTGTTTTTGGATCTGGAATCGGTTTCTGCTGTTTCTTTACACAGAAATCATCGCTGCAGAGTAAAAGGTGGTTTCGCCACAGAAGTATTCATAAATGTGTACTGTCGCTGTCAAAAGTATCTTTCGCAGCAAAACAAATGCATCTGCAGTGCTTGTTTTGCTTTTTGCCTAATGGCAGCTTGGTTAGACCTCTTACGGGTCTGTATTAGGCAGTCAGTAGTAAAAGGGTATTAGACATAAATAAAACAGAAGTTGTCTTTGAAATGATGTGGCATTTCCATATCAACTGAAATGAAAACACTGTGGCTCCCTTGATCTGTTTATGCAAAACTGAGCCAAGCCATGAGATACTGTGATGTCTGATGTTCTGCTGAGGGCTCGAGTCAGTCGGCCAGCTGGTGGTTAGATGGACAAACGTCTGAAATTTCCCTAAACACTGCGGTCAACAACATGCAGAGACATCTGAGGCAACACACATGGGTGTATGAGATGCCAAGAGAGTGAAACACAAGCCGGTGTGATGTGTTAAAGCTGATGAATGTCTCAGATGTAACCATTGTCTGTAAATTTTATATTACTGCATATTTTCATTAGAGTACATACTGTACCCGAGGAGTACATAGCACAAGCATTTTATGCATTTCCTAATAGCATCAGTACAGTAATTGTGTGTTCATTCCTTCTGAGGTCATATCTGAATGTTAATCTGTATAAACTAATTAGGTCGTGATGCAAATTCCAACCTTATATTTTGAATGTCGGTGGTGAAGTGACCATTCTGTTCAGATTTTGACCTGAGATTCTGCTTTTTATTGTCTTTCATATATGTTGGATTTAAAGAAATTCTTTTTAAAAAAGTGTTTAGTGGTAAAATACAGCATGCAGGCTCTTCATGGCCACAAACTGAAGTATGAATTACAGCTGAAATTAATTTAATTAATACCTGCCCTGAAACAGATATATAGTTGTGCTTGTATTTATTTGGTCAAAACAAAAAGGAATACATTTAAATTGCAGCCCAGTATTACCACCCTCTATATCAATGGTCTCAGTGGTTGTTAATTTTTATTTCAGACTGACAATTATGGAGCCCTGTGATAGACTGGTGAAGCTGTCAAGGATGTACCCTCCCTCTCGCGCAGTGTCAGCTGAGATTGGCTCCAGCCACCTTTCAACCGCTAAAGGCTAAGCGGATACAGCTAATGGATGGATGGCAATGTTATTTACCTGGTGCAGTATCTTTGTGAATGAGCCCTAAAATAGAGATACTGTGTCAATTCCACCAGACACAGTTTTATACACTCTGCTGTACAGGTATAGGCTGTTCTGTCAGTTCTGTCTGTGACCTCAGCGCTCTGTATGTTACTCTGAGATTCAAATGGAGTGCTGTGGTTACACAATTATCTCCTGCTGGGAGTTTTGACAGCCTGGTCATTTGTCATTACCACGTCTGTACCCAAGAAAGAAAGACAGCAAATCCCGGCTGTTCTCTAACGCAGGGCGAACAGAGCACTGCTAACTAGCTTCCTATTTCGAAGTGGAATGCAAACTTAACAGCATGATGGGTCCTCCCAAATGTCAAGTTTTCTAAACAGACAGCTTAAATCATTAATAGGTGATGCCATGGGTAGTTGTTAGGAAAGAAAAAAAGGAACCCTATGTGTCAGCAGTCACTGGATGATGTTCTCCAGTCAGCAGCACAGCACATGGCACTGGCAGAGCGTAGAGGCCCAGTGGTGCAGCTGCAGTTGCCAACCGAGGGCCTGCAGTGACAGCAGGCGAACGTTCACATAATGTAAAACAGCAATGCATCAAGGTCAATTAATGGGCCAATTATGTGCTACTGTTAAGATTACTGTGTTGTCACATAGGTAATGGTTGCAAATTGACTTAAATCATAAACAACCACCCACCAGCATTCACTAATGTGGAAGTGTAGTGATGGAAATGCTACAAACATACAAACTCAGTGGTGCTCACAGAGAAAAGAGAAGCGACATTTGGACACAAGGTTTCAAAACAAAAAGCTAGAGTCATTTTTTCCTAGTCGCTGATGAGTTGCAAGTTACAGTGTAGCATGGAAGTTGTGTGTGTGTTTACATTAGGCAGATTTGAAGTGTAATTGTCGATGGGCTGTGCTTGCGATGATGTTTTCAAGCTGTTAAAGCTATTGGTTTATATATTTTCATGTTGTATCTGCTGCAGTGTCCAAATGAAACAGTTATTGTTGGTTATTTTTGTTTATGAGTATTGTGCTATTTTCCAATTCTAGTGAGGCTATTGTGCACTTTTACAAAATGAATTATGGTCTAAGGGCCCAGTGGGACAGCCTGAGATATGTTGTTCCATCACTGCCACAGTGTGACAACTAACAATGCAGGCTGTAAGTTGAAAGTCAACAGTTGCCATAGGAAACACCTATTCGGAGGCTTGACACTTTGATACTGTGTCTATAAATATGTTCTATAGTCCTATCCTTATTTGAAAAATAAAAAGCTATGTATGTTAGTATTGGTATTAGTATGGTTAATACTTCCTATATTTCTCACAAAAAAACAAACAGAATTCAGCAGACACATCAACTTCTCTTCCTTTATTCTTAAGGTTTGACAAAAAAAAGGTTAAAGTTGCAGTGATTTATTACAAAAAGCTGAACTATTTAACCAGCTACTGACTTTGAATACAATCTGTAACTAAATTCTGTTCTAAAACTTTTTCTTTTTCCACCTTCTTTCCCCCCTTACCCTGAGGCGCTTGCTGAGTTTGGTAGAAAGAAGGACAGAGAAGCATTTTGCCAGAAGCACAGAATCACTAGATTTAAGTCAGTGGTTGTCAGTGGTTGCCTGACTTCTCTGGAGAATGACAACCACAATGAAAGAAAGATGGCAAGATGGCTTGACTGGCAGCCTTTTATGTCTGTTCACTTCAAGGTCAGATGTACCACAAAAAAAGAAAACCAAAGAAAATGTGAGTGATCCAGAATTTCTTAAAAACCATCTACAATTCAAAACTATGTTGTGGCAAAATGAAGATCATTAATTGTGAGTGGCAGTGAAAAGGACTCTAAAGTGTCAAGATCAAAAGAGGAAGTCAAGTAGCAGCAGAATAGAATAATGTAAACATAACTGTGTGACTGCCAGCATGTCAAATTCAACCTCATCTCATAAACGCCACAAGGAAGAAACATTTTCAGAGGTTAATTTTACTGTATTATCAATTAAAGCAATTGCCAACAAATGAAAGAAGGGGCTTTTCAAAACCAATTCTGAGGATAACTGACCATGCTATGTCTTCTCAGCAGGTGGTTAGTCATAATACAGCAGGTGATTCATATGAATTAATTCCTACCTGTCATTCACTTTGCTCTGCCGCTTCAGTCTGTCCAAGTAATTGTAGTCCTGTAGATTTCACTTGGCACCTACAGCAGGATTCTTGGCTGACCTTCCTGTGCGCTTCCTTCTAGCAATTATCTATGGACATTTTGGAGAAAGAAAGCACAAATATTACAGTGGGAATCCCAAAACAGATACTGTTCAATATATAAAAAACAGGTAGAAACACAGGATGAAAACCATACTTAAATGAAAGTTTTCATGTCTGACCATTTATTTGAAGAAATGTTTTGCTCTCAAACACGTTGCATTAAAGAGTCAGGAATATTCTTTTGTTAAAATATCACATAAAGGATCAAACGGCATTCAAATACGTTCAGTGCTACACCTCGCACCCTGTTTCTACCTGATAAAATTCTGCAGCACCCCTGGCATTACACATGTTGTTATCCCCTGGACCCTAAGAAGCACAGAAGTATATCATAATCTGTTTTCAAATGATGTGTTACAGTACCACGCACTGGTATTTTCCACATATGCTTATTCAATATCCCAGTGATAAAAACCAGCAGGACCTCAATTTGCCTTCGAACGTTTAATCTCCAAAAGAAAACACTTCTACACAAAGCAGCAAGAAGCAAAGTAACAGTACAGGGTCATTTGGTGCCAATGAAGTATTGGTAAAATGAGTTTCCATGGAGACTAATATGCTCGCAACTAAAGACACTTACAGTGGCATTTTGGAACGAGCGAAGCAAACTGCGGGGTACAAAGATAACAAGCTGAGACAAAGAAACAATGTCAACACAGAGGGCTCAACCTGTAATCAGCATGTACACTAGCTGAAAAAGGTAGAAGACATTATACGCAGGTGGATGTTAAATATAAATAAAGTGCACTGTGAATCAAAACATTAAACTTTAACACTAAATTTGAATATTACAAAATTATGTTTTTTTCCTGCATTGTTTTCCCAGTTCACAATGTGAATGTATAATTTCTTGCATGCCGACAGGAACATTCCCCAACAAAAAAAAAAAAAAAGTACGATTGTTTCTGCACTACCCTAGAATAACAACCCTGATTATAAGAATACTTTTTAAAATGTGCAGTATGTTTAAATAAGAAACAAATAAATGAGAAAAGTGTTCCTGGGGATTTCTCCGATCTGGGTTGTAAATTAGCTGTTGAGTTCACTCTGGCACATTTATAAAGATGCTGAATAAATAAATGAATGAATAAATAAAGAGAGCAAAATTAACTAAAACATCTGCTGTTAAGAACACACTAGTCTTTGAAATTCAAGCTTAATTTTCAGAAGATATAAAAAAGTCTTATGTATTCTGGCCAATATGGCATACTGAATTTAGGGTCAAATTTAGAAAACAAAATTCTACGTGAACAAATATAAAACACAGATATAGCAACACAAACATATTGCTGCAGTAGACAGGACAGTTGGTTTGACAGGTGTGATATTTTCAGTAATGGAACAGGATGCAGCTTTTTTCCCTTTCCCATTTCCTTTTCATGATCTACAGTACTTGCAGGCCAATCCAGTCTCCCTAGAAGTACAGGATCTACAGAACATGTAATGCAACTTGTTGTGCTTTTGCCTTTCACTCCCTAGATAAGGGTTCCTGTCTCATCTGAAACTAACAGTCATCATTAGCCTTTTTTCAAAATAGTTAAGATGTTCTTTCTTTCATAATAGCCAAGACCTTTTAGCCACCTAAACCTATAGAATCCGTTAAAATATTGCAGTTGATCAACAGTGTGCTATTGATGCAGAAGCCAAGCTAAGTTTTTCAGACATGGGATCATGAGTTCCAGACTTCTGTCCCTCCAGTCTGACTGCCCTGTGTGATACTGTAGTGAACCTGACTTTCAAGTTAGTGGATCCATGAGATTTATCAATTTAGCGGGAAATGACTCTGAATAGATCTACTCTTCAGTGGATACAGTTGCCTATAAAACAAAGAAAGCGCTGCTCAAAGGTGACTTTTATTTTGAAGACACGCTGTGTGCCATTGTTGTGAATTTGCTGACATCAGTGGTCCAGAAATGTATGCCTCTGCGCAGTGCAGCTTCTAAGTAAACAATCTGTCGATTCTGCACACATGACAATGCCTGCTCACTTCGTTGAAGACCTCTAATGTCTATCTGCCAGCGAGCCACTGCAACCACCGTCATTGGTTACAAGGTGAGATATCTACGTGTATCCGAAAAACACACTGATGTGATCGAGTTGGGGTTTTTGCTTATCACCACAATATCAAGTCACCTTGTTGTTTTTCCCGTCTAATCAAAAGTCAACAACAATGCTATCTAACCCTGATATGGAGCCAATTAAATCCTGGTCTCAATCTATGGCGTTGCAAAGCGCATGCTAATTTGTTGTCATTCAGCCTTTGATTCCTCCAAGTCTTCTGTCCTGTCTCAGGGTTGCTGTCTGGATACGTTTGACTGCTTGAACGGAGGAGCTACCTACAGACAAAATAAATAAAGTTATAAGACATAATCATACAGGCAGGTTCACAGGAGTACACAGACTAATATTTGGTACCATGAGCCACTGTTTTATCAAAGGGTTGAGGAAGAGGGTGAAGCTTGTTGACACAGGCAGAGGTACACCTAAGCCACTCCACATCCCAATCGATCACAGTTCCACTTCACTACAAGTGGCAATCCCCCAATAAACTAAGAATTTCCTGCCCGTGCTGACTTTCAGAATCTGGACACTTGGCAGGACTTTCAGAACCTTCGGTTACAGTACTGTGCAGCGCTATTGTCCTCTTCCATTGCTCCTCAATCAAGACTGACTCAGTTTGAGAATGTTTCTAGCTCAGTGCTTGGCTGGTGCAAAAGCAGGAAACAGATGGCTGGCTATTTCTGGATGGTACTACAGAGTGTCCAGCTTAAATAAAGTGTTCTTTCACTGGATCTTAGTGTGTATATGTGTGCGTGTGTGTTTTTAAATGCCAACACAGGGAACTTCATAAAGCCGTGGACTGAGAACTTGTAAATGGTCTGTGACAAGGAGATTATAAGAAGGTTTTTAAGGTATTTTACACTATTACACTAAATTCACATTTCTCCCTCCTTACTTTCTTTAACTCTACCTAATCCTCCCCCGGAGGATGCCTATTAATCTGTACCAACACCGCGCTCCTCCTGACGAGGCGGCAAACAGGCCACCATTTGCTTTCCTGATCTCTGTCACTCAAATGGTCACGCAATTACTGTCTGTCTTCACAGGTTACATAGTGAATATTAGCTGCATTGTAAGCAGAAATTAATTACATGAGCAAGTAGACCAAGTTAATAAAGGCATTTAAAACACTTCTGAGGATGCACCTCCACGAATGGTTACCATGGATTCATGCTTATGGATGGGACACCATGAGCCGGACTGTTTATGTTCTCGGATGTAAGCGAAATCATGGCACAACGATAAGATCGACGATGACATGCCGTCTGGCAGGTGCTGACAGTTAGAAATTACATTAAGCCTTATCTTTTCATTATGAGATTTTGAGCCTACACATGTAGATGGAGCAATCCCTTATCGAGGTATAGTGCCTTGGCTGAATTTGAATTGATTTCAATTTATCTGGAATCCACTGCAAATTCTTCTCATGGCTTGCAAAGCAGGAGGCAGTGACTGCTGCTCACAGGTCAAGTCAGATTCATCTCAGGCTGTCTGATCAGCCCATCCCGAAGCTGTGCTACGTGTGAGAAATAGCACATTTTAGATTAGAACATTCCCTCTAAAAGCCTTCAGCTGTAGTGCACATCTTTTAATAGTTTGGGACAGAGCATTCATTTCATCTCTGGTCGCTTCTTTTAAAGGCTATCCCACAAGGTCCTATCACTAGGAGGTTCAAGGGCAAAATAAATCAGCGATGACACGTCCCGTCGTTGTTATGTAGGGCGCAGAGGTCTCCTGTCTGCAGCAGGAGCTCAGGTTGAGAGATCCCTTTTGTGTCTGTAGAGGGATCACATTAACAGCCTGACTCATTACTTTAATAGCAGTACCACGGCTGCAACATGAATAATGCCATTCCTTCTGTGAAGAGGTTACAAACCAGTCTGACAGTGGAAAAAGCATCAAACTATTATTAACCATAAATGACACACACTGCCCATACAGGGTAGGCAGATATATTTAGTGCTGAGTCAGTGTACTTTGTTGAATCCATTAACCGTGGATATGAATAAAACCGACTGTTCAGATTTAAATAAAAGATGGATGGAAAGTATCAGTTAATAAAAATGTCTAGGCCAGAGATCACTTGTTTAAGATGAACACCATGTGCTTTAGGTGCAACACCCCGGATTTAAATTTGCAACAGGACCCCTGACCCTTGTCTTTTCTTGTTGATGTGAAATAAAGCAAAAATGACAGAAATATAATCTTCAAAAAATGTTTAGGTTGCAAATGCTTCACAGCGAAAATTCTTTAAAAGCTGAATGTTCTTTAACCTTGCTTGCCTCTCAAGCACCTTCTCCACCTACCCCATCACCAGGGGATCTGTCACAAATCAAAGATGGGAAGGTCAATAAAAGCAAACCATGCCAGAATCTCTGACTGACACATCAAAAAGTTCCCTTGGCAGTGTTAGACACTCTGCCTTCCTTCCCTTCCGACCAATTTAGCAAAGTCCGAGGGGAGCCCCCTAATCCATGCCTCTGAAAGTGCGCTTAATCAACCTCTGATTAAGAAGGAGCACACCAAGGTGTCCGGCAGCATCTTTACTGCCCTCCACTCCTGAGGTCAAAGAAAACAGAAGGAAATAAAATATATTTGTCTTCATAGCTTCCTGCACCTGACGTTCCTTCTCAAATGTCTTGGTCTTGTTTTAGACCCTTCACTCATTTCACATCCACTGACAGCAAATACAAAGCAAACATTTAGTTCCTTCTAATTTCTTGGCTCTGCTTTTTCACTCTGTCTCCCCAATTGTCTCTTTTTGTTGTTGTTGTTGTTGTTATGAGTGTCCCCCGGGTGTCTGGGAATGAATTAAACATCAGTATGTTGCTAGGAAGGACACGGTTTCTCCTGAAAGGACTGAACGTAGTGCTGTTTGAGAGGAAAGCAGCAGTGGAGGTGACAGAAGAGGCTTTGCTCAGCACGA